CAGAAGGCTGGCGGTTCAAACCCACCAGCCACTCCTCGGAAGGAAGGTTGGGCAATCTACTTCCATAGTGATACCACCTCAGAAACCCAAGGAAGGGTCGCTATGAGTTGGTTCCAACTTTTCAGCATAACGACAACAAAAACATCTAATATGGACAAGAAGATTAAATGGTCAGTTTCTCAGTTACACTAGTCACCTTTTAAGTGCTTAATAGCCACAGGTGAGAAGAAGCTGCAGAATTGGACAGTGCAGATTTAGAATACTTCCACCTCTGCAGAAATTACTGTGAAACTACTGCCCCAAATCCAGCCTGCTGCCTATTTTTGTAAATAATGAGTTATTGGCACACAGACACATCTGTTCATTTATATATTGTCTGTGAGTGGTTTTTTGCTGCAGCAGCAGGGTTAGATAGTTACAGCAGAGACCTTCTGCTGACAAAACCCAAACTACTTACCATCTGGCCCTTTACAGAAAAAGTTTTTTGTCAATTCCTGTTTTAGATCAATCCAGGCATGGGATGCATTGGGCAATTGCCAGTAATTCTGTATTTCAACAAAGTAGGCAAAACATACTTGGACATGAAGCCGGAGGGCAGATGATAGATAGTCCCAGAGGACCTGTATGGCTGCATTGCTCAGGGTGTATTATGAAGAATACCAGTCCACTGAGGTGGTATACAAAGGATGGTTCCGTAGTCAAATAAGTTTTAGAGGTGCTGAACACTGGCTCTATTTTCTGGGGTTCATAGGCACATCAAAGGCTCTGAGAAGTCCTGCAGTAAAGAAATGTGTCATATTTTGCATGACTCCAAAGATACATAACCAAAGGATCATTTTTTTTTCTTCTAATACCTAGATTAAAATCCTACAGAACTGATACTTGAGAAACATTCTTGGAGAAACTTGGTCCTAGGGAACCATAGAAAGCTTTTGAGCAAAGGAGTCCACATAGTCAGGTGTGCTTTATAGATTGACCTACTTATATTTATATCTTCTAAAGGTCCTTCCTGGCTTCAGGACTTCAGTAAATTCTGATGTGTTTATGGGATAGAAATGAATCGATCGGCACCATTGCCACAGACACTTGAGTTACGACTCATTCACATTCTTCCTTCATTAGCTCCTCTGCAGAAGCTAGTAGCTCCAAGCAGGAAGAGCAAATAGGATGCACAACACCAGTGTGAAGGCGGGAAGGTATTTCAGGCTGTCAAAAAGCCTAGAAGTCTGCAGAGAAGAACCTCCACCTGTCAACCTACAGCCTGCCTGTAGGGATGGGGATGCCATCACTGGCTATGACATGCTCATTGGCCCAGTATCAGACCAAATTAACATGCCGTCAGTTCTCAGAGTCAGCAGAAGGGCCTCTCCCTCACCCTCATCCCACCTCCCAAACACTGAGATGTCGTTAGCCCGTGTCCTGTGTGGGCACTGGTGAGTTAAGGAGCCTTCAGCACAGAGCCGCCTGGTACCTGCTTCTGTCTCTTTCTTCTTTTGGAGCACAGCTAGTTAGTTGGGTTTTTCTGTGCAAGGACAGAGCCATGACAGACTTATTTTGTAAATATGCACTTTCCTCTAGATTCGGTGCTCTCCTGGGGACCTTACCTGTACAGCATGGTAAGTAGGTGGGTCCTTACCTCTGTACCACTGTGATAAACAGTCTAGCTCAGTTCTCTGGCTCTGGCTGCAGTAAGGAGGAAGCTCACCATGTTTGCCTGTGTGGTTAAGGCTGTTATCAGCTTCATGACTTCTGGTCTTTAACTGCTCTTGGGGGCTACTAGGCCGTATCATAGTGAGGATGACAAGCAATAGTCTTAGGGACAAATAAACATCAACACAGTTATCTCCTTTTTCTGGATACAAAAAACTTTTTTTTTTTCATTGTGATGAAAATATACATAACAAAATATATACCAGCATAGTAATTTCTACATGTACAATTCAATGACATTGGTTACATCTTTTCAGTTGTGCAACTGTTCTCACTGTCCTTTTCCAAATCAGTCTGCCACCATAAACTCACTGGCTCCTAAGTAAAAACTCCCCTTTTCCTCTCCCTCCTACCGGTGATAACCACTGATAATCTTTGGTTTCTATAGATTTGCTTATTTTGTGTAAGTGAGATCAGTATTTCTTCTTTTGCAACTGACTAGTTTTGCTGAGCATGATATTTTCAGCCTTAATCCATTTTGTGGCACAAGCAACAATTTTTTTAATCCCTCAACTTTTTTTTTCAAATTTTATTTTGTTGTTGTTAAGAATATACACAGCAAAACACACCAATTCGTCAGTTTCTGCATGCACATGTCAGTGACATCGATATATTCTTTGAGTCATGCAACCATCCTTGCCCTCCTTTTCTGAGTTGTTCCTCTCCCATTAACATAAATCACTGCCCCCTAAAAGTCCTGTCTAATCAGTTGGATCCAGTATAGGTAGTTCTTCAAAGAGCGTAATGCTCAAGGCTGACCTTTTTCACTAGTTCAGCTGGACTGCTGTTTGGTTTTAAGAAGACTTCAGAGGATAGTTTTGGTTTAGAGTTTAAAGATAATCTCAGGGCAGTCATGTCAGAGGTTCATCCAACCTCCATGGCTCCAGAAAGTGTGGAGGCCATGAGCATTTGAAATCCTGTTCTGCATTTCCCGCCTTTGAATCAGGATTCTGCTATAGCATCTGATCAAAATGTCAATAATAGTAGTTGGGGACCATCCAGTTCTTCTGGTCTCTTGGTGAAGGATTCTTCAATCTTTATTGTAAAATATTTCAAATATGTGGAAAATTAAAAGATCATTGTGAACACCCACATGCGCACCAGTTAGACTCAGTTAACATCTTGTTGTCTGTCTTTCATCAGTAAATATTTATGTGTGCATGTTGTTATTTTTGCTAAATTATTTGAAAATAATTTGGCAGACATCATGAACTGTTATGCCTCATTAGTTTTATGCATCTCCTAAAAAGAGTAGGCCATTCTCCTATATAACTGCAATACTATTATCATACCTAAGAAAATTAACAATAATTTTATAATATCATCTAAAATCTAGTCCATTTCCAACCTTCCCCACTTTTACCAAAACCTATTATCTTCAAACCAGGTTCTAGTAATCATTCATGGTTTATATCTGGTTACTATGCAAAGCATGATTTTAAGATGCATACACCTAATAAAGTTAGCAAGGAACAGTTAGATATTAATATGCTTTGTAAAGCATAAAGCCCAGTAACAATAGTAGGTGATATCATTACTTTTCCTGCTAAACTGTGTGGGTTGTTGTGATAGGCTTTCATAGGTTAGGTCCCCTTTCTCCTGCCCTCTCTTTCCCTCACCCTGTTCCCAACAGCAGCATTTCCAGATTGACGTCCCTAAGTAGGCCTTTTTGTCGGGGTTTGCATTCTAGTCCCTTCTGGATGACCAGGGTCTGGCTGAGGTGTCCAAAGTTGCAGAGCAAGTCCTGGATGCTGTCAGCGAGGGACACTACCAGAAGGCCACCCAGCTGTGGGGGAAAGCAGAAATGGTCATTGAACAGGTAAAGGGAGACATGCTTGGGGCAGCCCACTTGGCTTTTTCCCATGGGACAGGGCCTAGGGAAAAAAAATCAAGTGGCCAGTGTTGACAGGATTGGAGTCTTCTGAGACCTTGACCAATTCTGGAAATTATTGCATTCAGATCTCCAAACCGTGTGGTTGATACCTGATAGGTCTGAGCAGTGTAGTAGCCCTTTTGTTGTTTGGTGCTGTTGAGCCAATTTTGACTCATAGAGACCCCGTGAGACACAGTGGGATCGCCAAATAGGTTTCTCTAGGCTGTAATCAGTATAGGAGCAGATTGCCAGGTCTTTCCCCTGTGAAGCGATTAGACGGGTTCAATAGCCAGCCTTTCGGATAGCAGCCAAACACTTTAACCATTACTCCACCAGGGCATCTTAACCCACTGCCATCATGTCCATTCTGACTCATAGTGAGCCTGTAGCACAGAGTAGAGCTGCCCCATAGTTTCTGAGGCAGACTGCCTCATTTTCTGCAGAGTGACTGGTGGGTTTGAAGCACCAGCCTTTTTGGTTTACAGCCCAATGCTTTAACCACTGTGCTACCTGAGCTCCTTTTACCAGGGCCCCTTGGTAGAAAGCCACACAGGCCTACAAGACTCACTTGTCCCTTGACTGGATATATGGATTCTATAGGAAAGAATATGATCTGCAGAGGAGAGTATGTAGTTTGGGGCAGTGTATTCTTTATTTTGAGGTTTGCAAAGCAACATTCTGACCCTGGTGAGCCAAAAGGGAAAAATGCACTGGCCAGGACTCTGCTGTATAGAGCCTTCTGTGCACAGCACTGTTCTTGTGTAAATTAACACCCAGGCCCTTGGTTTTCCTCTGCAGGATGTGAATCCAATTCATGTCAAGTCCTCCCCAGCCCCAAGAGAGTGGGCTGACCCTACTGGTCTCTGAGTCTGCAGAGCTGCATCTTGCTGTCTGAGCAAAGTTCCAAAGTTACAGCTACCCTTGCATAAGCTAGAGGATCAGGGGCCTTTGCTGTTCTGAAACTTTGATGATGGATAAATGAAAAAAGCAAACAGCCAAATGCCCTTTCTTTTTCAGAACACAGATGGGGTGAACTTCTATAACATCTTAACTAAAAGCACCCCTACGCCTGCAAAAGAGTCGAGCCTAGAATTCACACAGAGCCATCTAGGTGAGTGACCCTTGAATTTGGTTAGCCCCTGCCTCAGCTGGACTGATTTTTTTAAATAGCTTTATTGATGTATAGTTTACGTTCCTTAAATCCTCCCACTTGATGTATAATTCAGTGTTTTCAGCATATTCACAGAGTCGTGCAGCCGTGACCACAGTCCAGTGTTAGAATGTGTCCACCACCCCAGAAAGATCCTGTGGGCCTGTCTGCAGTTGATTCTCTTTCTTAAACCTCAATCCCAAGAACCGCTCTTTTCCTTCACCGTAGATTTGCCTTTTCTGGACATTCCATATAAGTGGAATCATGCACCAGGTAGTCTTTTCTCAGTTTGGCTTCTTTCACTTAGCATACTGTTTTTGAACTTTGGAAGCCAGCTTTTCCATCCTGAATTACAGTGTCAGTTCTCCTAATGGCTGAATGCAGTTGCCCTTCTGCTGAGCCAGCCTCCTCCCTCCATAAGAGGCATAGAAGGGCTGCATGAGTCCTCAGGCTTCCAATTCTTAGCTGATGTCCTTTGGCCGTGCAAGGTAATCCAGCCCCCCCAAAGTACACAGACTGCAGCCCTCAGAGATAAAGCATCTCTGCTTTCACCATGGTGCTGGCTTTCTTCATCTCTCTGGGATGAATCAAGGTGACCTTTTCATTTTCCAGCTGAAACCTTCTCTTAACGCACAGCATCCCTAGCACCTTGGAAAAGATGTCCCCTTGGTTTTATTTCTAGTCCTTTGACTCACCATGTACCAGTTTGATTTTAGTTCAGCTTTGTCAGCGCCACGTGAGACACCTACAACAAGACGCCCTGAGTCAGCTCATGAACGGCCCCATCAGAAAGAAGCTCAAAATCATTCCTGAGGACCACTCCTGGGGAGGTATTAATGTGACCTCATTAAATGCCTTTGTAGAGTGTGGAGAGAAGAGAGGTACAAGTTCAAAGGCCTTAATTTATAGAATGGGTTTTGTTGGTGAGGGTGGTGTGCAGATAAAACAATATCATTTATTTTCCACATTTTATAGGTAAACAAACATATATCGACTTAGTATATGATATGTCAAAATTTGATTTGAAAGAGGGGTGGGTGGGGAAGAAAGTAAAATGTGATTAGTTTTGAGTTGATAATTGTTGAAAGCAGATGTGCGTATCTAGGAATCATTACACTCTTTTCCTTTGTATAAGTTTGAAATTTTCCATAATAAAAAATTAAGATAAAAAATCCACACTTCAGGGCCCAGCTGGTTGCAGATGAAGGAGCTGTGGTGATGCAGCGGTAAAGCATTCAGCTGCTAATCAGAAGGTTGGTGGTTCGAACCCACTAGCTACTCCACAGGAGAATGATAAGGCAGTCTGCTTACTTAAAGATTTACAGCCTTAGAAACCCTATGGTGCAGTTCTACTCAGACCTGTAGGGTTGCTATGAGTCAGAATCACCTTCATGATGGCAGGTTTGGTTTGGTTTGGTTGTAAGAGTGACTTCCAGGCAAAGGTCCTTTGCAGGATGTCAGACACGCCCATGTACTTAGACAGATTTTGACAGTTCTCTCTTGCTGGCTTCCCCAGGCATCCTAACGCTGGGGCACCTATTGCATCCTGGTCCCAAGGCCCTGATTACAAGGACTCTCCCTACCCAGTGTGCTGGACAGACAAAGGGAATATATTTTTGCAGGCAATCACTGATAGAGAAAACTCCCTTTGATCCCAAATCTCCAAACTTTGTCTGCTTAGCTACAAACTGGAACTCAAGGCACTGAGGGTCCTGGCCTAGGACCGTTTGTCTTTTGTGTCTATATATGCTTAAGAAAAGACAAGCTGTCCTTGGCCAATACCCTTAGAGCCTTGGGTTCCAGTTTATAGCTAAGCATACATACCTTGGAGTTAGCCAGGCCTGAGTTCATATCCCAACTTGCCACTGACTGGTTGTTTCACCCTGTACAGTTTTCTCAGCCTCTCTGAGCCTCATTTTCTTTAACCATCATGTAAGACTCCTTACCTTCCAGGGTAGTGAAGAAGTAAGATGTTGCTTATGAAGTGCTTGCTTAGCAGAGCAGCTTGTGAATTAATGAAAGCTGCTGTTGTTTTTGGTTGTTGTTTAATACAGTGTTGATGCTAATGGTCAGGAATCCCACAGCCATGATCTGTTGCCTGGGGCTTGTCATCCACATGTCTTTGCTGAGGGCCAGCCTGGAATGGGAAGGCAATGGTGGTTCAGTGGTAGAATTCTTACCTTGCATATAGGAAACCCAGGTTCAATTCCTGACCAGTGCACCTTGTGTGCAGCCACTACTCATCTATCGGTAGAGGCTCACATGTTGCTCTGATACTGTACAGGTTTCAGTGGAGCTTCAAGACTAGAGAGAAAGGCCTGCTGATCTACTTCTGAAAATCAACCAGGATCACAGTAGCCCAGTCGTCATCCAATCATAGGGATGATGCAGAACCAGACAGCATTTTGTTCCATTGTGCATGAGGTCATCATGAGTTGAGGCCGACTCCATGGCAGCTGATAATAGCAACAGCTTAGGACAGAGGTGTCTGATTTGGTTTTTCACCAAAGGCAGCCTTGCTTGTTCAGAACTTCAGTTCCTCAGCAAAGGAGGAAAATGAACATTCCCTGAAGGGACCAGCCTAAAGAATATTTTTTAAACCTCTGTCCACCCTGTGTCCATGGGCAGCTTCAGTTTCTCCTTAAAAATGAGATTGGCTGTCGTCATAAGCTCTTGGCTGAATAGCCCATGCGTGCTGCTTGCCCTTCCCTCTGCTCCGCCAGCTCAGGACCCGATCGCTGGGTTGGTTAGTCCCTGTTTGTGAAGCATCTGTGGATGCAGAGTCTTTGCTAAGTGCCACATAGTCATTACTTTTCTGTGCCTGAGCCAAGGATACTCTGGGCTGAAAGGAGTCTCTTGTTCTGGTAGATTCTGAGTTGCTATCTCTTTCTCTCTTCCCATGTGTAGGCCAGGCTACAAATGTCTTTCAGAACATGGAAGGAGACTTCATGAAACCAGTCATCAGCATCGTGGATGAGTTGCTGGAAGCTGGGGTCAATGTGACCGTGTATAATGGGCAGCTCGATCTCATTGTGGACACCATGGGTAGGAACTGACCCTGCGGAGTACATGGGGCAGTTTGATGCATTGAGCTGGAAAGGCACTGGCCTTGGGCACATTAGTCTTGGGGTTGGCAGCATTTAAATGCCAGCAGTAAGGCCATTTCCTATTATGTCCATCTGCCCCTGGCCTTGACTTTTTGAAGAAGAGGAAACTGCTTGTGGTTGTGATCCTTCAGAGAAACCTGAGCTTGTCCAGGTTTTGAGGCTTTTAGGTCCACCTGCCCCGGCCTCCACCACAAAATACCATAAAAATATATGTATATGTATATATGTGTGTGTGTGTGTGTGTGTGTATACTTTTTTTTCTGTCCTGACCATTGGTTAAATGCATTGTTTAACTGAGAGAAAACCTAGTTTTTGTACAATCTCACAGTTAGATGTTAAGCGTTGTAAAATGACTTAAAGCTAAACTCTGAACAACTCTGTAAGCCTAAGAACTGAGGCTCACTTCTGACTTGAGTAAGCCCATGTAGAGGCTTGGAAGCTAGGTTCTTAGAACCGTCAGTCAAATTGAGGCCCATGGTCTGGCAGGTATGACGTTTCTTGAAGTTAGTAGACTTGAGTAGTTTTGTGACTTGTAAGCTAAAAAGGCACTAAGAACAGTATGAAAAGATTCTGAACTGCCCAGGTGATCCAGGTTACTGTCTCTTCATCCCTGAGACATCTCAGGCCTCCTGACATGCCCACCAGCCTTCACAGAGGTCCCTGACTTTCTTTCTTAAGAGCGTGTAGCAGTCGGAGAATCAGAGGCAAAAAATAGGTAGGGTGGTAGGTTTCTCCCAGTCCATCTTGCCATTTAAAATATGAGACAATCTACAGCATCCACGTCAGTGGGAACTTGCTAGAAATGCACATTCTGGGCCCCACCCTGACCTGCTGAATCTTAATTTGCATTTTAACAAGATCCTAGAGTGATTTTTATGGACGTTACAGTTTGGGAAGCCCGAGTTATAGGACCTAATTTTTTTCTGTTCTACCCTGCTGTTAATAATACCCCACCTTTCACCATGTCTGTCATTAGGTCAGGAGGCTTGGGTGCGGAAACTCAAGTGGCCAGAACTGTCCAAGTTCAATCAGCTGAAGCGGAAAGCCCTGTACAGTGACCCACAATCTTCTGAAACATCTGCTTTTGTCAAGTCCTACAAGAACCTGGCTTTCTTCTGGATTCTAAGAGCTGGGCACATGGTAAGAGAGGGAGTCAGCTCTTGTTCCAGACCTACAGTGGTACTGAGCATGGAGCCACAGGCTCATGGTCTAGAGAGGCAGTCAGGCAAACAGACACACACAACATGGAACAAGAAATGCTGAAATGATCAGATTTGTCTAAGAAATAGCATTCTGGCAGCAGAGGAGATAGGACAAGCCTGGCTTAGAGAGCCAGTCTCTCTGTGATGCTAACGAGAGGATACATGTGATAAAGTGGAAGAAGGGAGAGTTGGCAGGACTTGGTAACTGTTTGGGCTGGGGAAGAAATGAGGTGTGGCTTTCCGGTTCCCACTCCAGCACATTCTCTGGGAGGGTGGCAGTTTGCTGCACAAGGTCAGTTTGAATTACCTGTCAAACAGCCATGTGGGATGTCGGTAGGCAACTGAGCATATATCTATTTAAAATAGTATATATATGGATCTGGAATCAAGATACATATTTATCCTTGGGGTCAAATACAAACAAGGCTGAGACAGAGTCCTGAGAAACATCGGAGAGGAGCCCACAAATGAGACTGAGAAAGGAGCAGCCAGAGAAGAAGGAGGGAGATCAGGAGCATAAGACCTCCCCAGAGGAGAGACAGATGGTTTGGGGGAAAAGGGAGGGACCCGCAGTGTCAAATGCTGTGGAGAACACAGATAAAGGACTAAATTTAAGCAACGAATTGGTTACACTGGTGTCTTTGGAAACCATGGCACACATTTTTAGTAGAATATCAGGCTCAGAAATCAGAATGGAAAGGCTGGAGACAATAAATGAGCAGTGAGGAAGCGGAGACAGCAGCTTCCTTAAGAAACTAGAAGGAAGTCATCCACTCTTTTAAGAGACTTGATCTGATGAAAGACTGAGCAAGGTGGTTGAACAGGGCTAAGAGGGCTTTTTTTTTTTTTTTTTTTAATGGCTCTAGGTATCTGATGTTTTACCCAATGTCAACTAGTAGGAAGTCTTAGAGCGAAAAAAAAAAAAAATAGTACTAGAGAGAGGTTCCTGCTAAGGCAGGTGGTAGGATAAGGAGCTCACATGCTAGAGTTCAGGGCCATCTCCTCTTGGTCTGTCACATATAGAGCGGAAGAGCGGTTGGGGGAAGCCTGAAAATAACCCATAGAGACTGTATTAAATCATCCCAAACCACTTCCTCTTTGACTGATTAAATGTCTTTTGATGAGTCTACCCCACCCTGCCTGTGCCTCCTGGGGACCCTTGCTTGGCAGCAGAATAGAGGGCAGGAGGTCCCAGAGAGAATTCTGGAGCCATACATTTCAAAACTTGGACACCACCTTCTCTACTCTCTCTTTATAAAGGACAAACTGAGACTCTGCCTCTCCCTTTTCTGATGATGTGTGGGGAGGAGATGGTTAGAAGGAATTATTCTAGAGGACTTCCAGTAAGATGGAGGAATAGGCAGACAAGCGATACAGACCCTCTTCAACAAAGAAAATAAAAACCAATTGATAGAGATACAGAAGAGCCCTGAGCTTTGAAAGGAACTATACAGAAGTGGATTAGGCACCAAGTAGTGGAAAAACCTGAACAAAAACAGTGAGTACAGAGATGGTCAGAGCTGCAGATTGTCAGCTACTCTGATGGGATCAACAGCCTGAATATTTCCAAGTGGTGTTGGGACCTGAGAATTGACCTAAAGATCAACCCTGGTCACCAAGGGTTGCAGGGATGACTGCACTGGTAGCCTATGACTAGGAAGGGAAACAGCAAGGAGGGAGACAACCTGAGCTGTTGGTTTTCCGCTGTCCGGAGGGCACAGCCATTTTGATTGTATACACGTGGCAGCAGCCATTTTGGATATTTAAAGTGACCGACGGTGCAGCCATTTTTAATCTTTACAAGTGGCAACCATTTTGAATTTTAAAGTGATAGCATTCTCATTCAGATACCAGGGACCTAAGAATAAGCTCTGTTTGCCAAGGTTGGCAGGGCCATACAAGAGGCTGACAACAGGAAAGGAGACCGGTGGTGAGTGTATAAGTGCTGTCAACTACTGAAGAGAGGAGAACAGCACAGTGCCCTGCTTGTGTAGATAACATACAAAGAAAACAAAAATCATGGGCAAGTTACTCCAACATACAATCACCAATTAAATATAAACACAAAAACGTCACAATGCCTTGGAGACAACAGAACATCACAGTCCACACAAAGAAACAAGATAAAGCAGGAGAAACAAGGAACCAGGATACAGAACCAAAACACGTCCCTGAGGAAGACCTAGCATTGGAACTCCCTGATAAGGAATTCAAAAGAATTACATTTAGGTATCTTCAAAGGATTGAGAGACAGATCAAGGAAAACACAGACAAAACCCTAGAAGAATTTCGGAAGAAAATATAAGAACAAAATGACAAAATAAATGAAAAATTAGAAATGA